GTCACATCCAAAATTTTATCATATGATTTTCATAAATTACACAAATCGACGAATTTACATTTTTAAAAATTTCACCTGATACCTTAGTTTTAACATACAATGCTTCTTAAAACAAATCTGTTGCCGAGGTCTTTACGAATCAGAAGATATAAAAAATATAAAATGCCAGTTGTCCGAGATTGCAAACCAAACACTGAAAGAATGGGGAAACGAACGACTTCTTTACTATCATACGTAGTATTTATACTGTTACTTATCGTATTTCCTAGTTGCTTAGAAGGAACTTCCCTGACATATAATGTAGCAGCTCACGAAAGAGCCTGTTTTTATGCTTGGGCAGACAAACCAGGTGAAAAGATTGCCTTTTATTTTGCGGTAAGTTTTTTTTTTTGCTGATGATATAGAATTTATTTTCTTTAGCTTTAGGGAATGGACAAGTTTGTAATGTAAATTATTTGAAGGTTATTCATAAATATTTTAATGATTATATTAGGTACAGACTGGTGGTTCCTTTGATATAGATTACGTCGTAACCGATCCACGTGGTAAACAAGTAATTAGTGGTGAACGAGAACGTCAGGGTGATTTTGTTTTTACAGCCAACTTTGTGGGTGAATATTCTTTCTGTTTTGCAAATGACATGTCAACATTTGCAGAAAAACTTGTAGATTTTGAGATTACCATTGAAAATGAACCACGAGCTGAATTACCACCATCAAAAGGAATTACACCAGATCAAACAAGTAGCATGGAAGAAAGTGTTTTAAGGCTTAGTAGCAGTTTGAGCACAATATCCAGAACTCAAAAGTATTTTAGGACGAGAGAAAATAGAAATTTCTCCACTGTTAAAAGTACCGAACATAGAATTTTATGGTTTGCTTTATTGGAGAGCATGCTAATTATTGCAATGGCCGCTGTACAAGTTTTTATAGTGAAGACTTTCTTCAATACTTCTAAGCGCGGTCATGTGTAAAAAAAGATGTCCGAAAATGTTGGATGGTAAAAATGCTGATGATGAATCATTCTCCAAATGATCATAAAAATCTGATGTTATCAAAAAAAACTGGTTGCATGTTTTAGAAAATTCATATTAACAATAGAACATTTATAAGCCTATTTTCTTTTCTAACGATGGTTACCTTTTTAGTAATATTAAATAAATTATAATAGTGTAACAGATTATCAAGGTCATAATACCTGCTAAATAAGTCCTCAATTCCGGGCGTTGCTCCGAGTATAAGGTTTTTAAATTATTTTTATGTTAATCTTTAAATAAAAATTATAATTCATTTGTTATATGATTTGTTTTTTTACAAATTGTATTTTAAAACTAAATATATTATTAATAAACTTTTAGATTATAATTAATATAAAAGTTTGTAATACGTATGTTAGAATCTTTTATTTAGTAAAATTTTCAAAATTTATTTTAAAAAACTTTATATTAGAAAATTTTATAATTTAAAATGATTATAATAATTATACTAGTGATATTAATACCACGTATATGTTTTTAATAGTTTATATATACAGTATATAAATTTAGAGTCAAAATTTTAAAATAAAATAAAAGGTTAAGATTTCTAAGTGTTAAATCATATTTTTGGCTATTTTGCTTTTGTTTATTAAGATTACAATATGCAACAAAATACATATTGTATATTCATTTATCATTTAATAACAAGCTTATCCAACTTGATGTTTAAATGCAATTTATTTTAGCAATTATTTGTTTTTTTTTAAACTTTTAACTTGTTTTTTTTATAGTCAAAGGTTAGCATTTTTGGCTTATTAGTTTTATTAGATACATAAAGACTATTGGTGTTTTAAAAAGTCTTAAACATTAGTATATTTTGACAAGAATATATTTGAACATATATACAATTTTAGTTATTGTTGATTTAAGGATTATACTATATTACTATAGTTATTTTTTATATATTATATCTAGAATTTGCCTATAGATCTTCTATTCAAACTATTTGATTTTCTAATACTAATTAATCTAATGTTATTTAGAGTATGAAATATATTAATTATTTTATATTTTTTAGATCATTCTATAAAACAACTATTTCTGATATACTGTATTTTTAAGCATATTATCTACTAAAACTTATGAATATCTATTATTATTATATAATCTAGTTTTTTTAGTAATTTATACCAAGTTTGAGAACAAGTATTTGTAGTTCTTAATATCTGTTATTATTATCTACTTTATGTCTTTGCAAAGTATATCTAAACTCTAATAACTCCTTGTTATATTCTCAAGTAATATATTAACAGATTAGAGTTTAAAATCTACTATTGATAATATTTTAAATATTTTGCTA